ATTTGAATGAAGATATTCAATGCAGTACTAGAGGAGACATTTGGTCTTTATCAGACAAACTTTTTTGCTGGTCTCCATGTAGAGAGACTATACTACCCATTTTCTATAGACACAATTATGCTTTTACATGTCAGTTAAAATAACAATCTATTTCTAAATATATACTGTTCTTCATATTAACTGTTTTAAAATCCCACATTTGGATGACAATAACATATAGATTAGAAGTAAGAAGACCTACCAGTGAAGCAAGGCTGACAACAGAGAATCATTTTCTAAACGGTTATTACTCTTCAATTTTTTGCTGTGTCCTTTTTGCTGGAATAGGAGTTCCAAAATGGGCGTTCTTCAGACCTGTGCAGAAATGTTTGCTGGATTAATTTAGAAGGCAACGAAAGTTGTAAATCAGCCCAGCTGAAATAGATTATGGAAGGTGCACAGCTCCCCCTGTGCTAGCTACCTCTTGTTGTGTAGTAAGAAGATATCGGGGAGAGAACATCTTCTGACAGCACCAGTTATAAAGATTTCTCTCTGTGTCCTTCCTCTCTGTGTGCGTGTGGCTCATGTATCTCAGTCCTGATCAAATGTTTCACTGGCAGCAAAAGAAACTGTTGAGTTTAGTGAGTGTAGTGTATAACACTGCTCTGAAGAAAAAAAATCATAGTAAAAAAATCATATGGGTTGTAAAAAGAGAAGCAAGTTTCTGCACCCAGTCAAAGTACATTCAGTAGCCCAAACATAAGTGACTAGTTGTATTTCAATGGATGTGGGATATCTGATGTAGTTGCTGTGCTGCTGTTCCAAAGTGCACAGTTCTGTGAGTTCTATATCTTATCTCTCAGACCCATACAAATACTTCAGATTCTTTAGGGCATCTCCGATGACACCAGATGTTTAGAAATTGAATCCCAACTCATTGTAAGTTTTTCTTTTGAAAGCATTTATTCATCCAAACTTAATTTAACCTTGGATGAAACACACTTTTCAACTTTTTTTTTTTTTGTATAATCAATATTTTGCATGGGAAATATTGCATCTATTAATAGAACATGTAATGCAGCAATGTTTATGAAATCCATGCACAGTCTGATTAATGCATTTAACATGTTTACAAAAAGCTGACGAAAGGAAGGGAAGATAATAATTGTGTGATGAAAATGCTCAGCTCCAACAATCAGTGTGATTATTTCAACTTCATTAGATTATTGGTTTTCATTACATACTTAATATCCAAAAAATTTAAGTGCAAATTATGTTTCTGATTAATAAGGGAAATATTTGCAATAGCTTAAAATATATTCTTTCCTTGACTCTTTTGAAAGGAAGAGAGGAAGAAGGAAAGAACATCTGAAAGGACAATTTTTTTCCATCAGGGAAACTTTTAATGTGGTAAAACATTTAAATTTTGAGTAAACAAAAAAATGCTGGGACAAAGAAAAAAGTCATATGCTATGTGAACTGTGTAGAAAATAATAAATGTACTCAGCATCTTTGTCATTAACAATGCAGCTCTAGAGGTAAACAGATCTTTTGGCTAAATTTTGCCTAATAATGGTAAGAAAGCTTTAGAAAATAACTTGTATTTGGCCTATACTGAATGTTCTTCTTTTTTATTAGCTAAACAAACTTAAGGCCCTCAAGATTTTCTTTGCAGCAGCAGGTGCCTGTGCATTTTTATTTGTATTCATAGTGTCATTAAAATCAAGGCATAATTTAGCTTTGGAAAAGCCACTGCAATGGGTGATGTTACACCTTAAATTGTTGTGATTGCAGTCTAATATAAACTCACAGAAAACAACAGGGATTATAGCTTTCATTTTCTAATCAAAGACATTTGACACATCTGGTGCTGATTATTATATCAGCAAATATAATTATATTTTCTTAAAGTTAAGTGAAAAACAATACCAGAATTATAATGCCACAGACATAAAAATGTACTTTTTCAATTTTTTTAATGAAAGTCACCTTGTACTGGATAAGAATAGGAGTAAGATAGCAATTGATATTTTGAGTTGTTTCTACTAAAAAGAGGGTCATTATGTAAAATCATCTGCTAGAAACTGCATAATACAGTGTCTGTACTTAAAATGTTATTTCTGAAATGAAAAATTTTTGCCATTTTGAGAAATATTACCTAAATTCTCTCAAGTTGCCAAGACCCAAATATGGAGCAGAATGTGTAATAAAACATGAAAATTAGAGAAATAAAACAATTACAAACACAAGAACATAAAACACTGAGAATAGTTACTTTTGTACAAATACTCCATTTTTATCACCTCAGTTTCATGAATCTTTATTTCTTCTGTGAAGAATTCTCTCCAGTGAATGTCAAGGGACAACAAATTGGCCAAGACCAGAATAATTTTGAGAATGCAGTGAGGGATGTGATATATATGAGATGTTTTTAAATCGGAAAAAAAATATATATAAGTAATAACAGATATAACTTGGTAGACCGGGGGAAAAAAAAGAACTTATCAAGATATGCCCATTTTGAAAAAAAAAGATCTCTGATATTCCTCAGATTTCAACCTCCTTCCATGGCTAAATGAGACAAATACTAGGCAGATAATAAAAGACTCTATTGTTTGAGGACAAAGCTCAATCTAAATAATGCACTACTGTGTATGAGCCACAGAAAATTCTTTGATGCGACAATTTAATTTTAAAGATTAAGATTATTCAGAGCTTCTGTGTGTGTCCACATTCTTGGCTCTGAATCATGAGTGCAGTGCTACAAATAAAAGGTATCTGTCTAGAAAGTATAACATTAATGCAGTTTAATATAAACTTATCTAGAAAATTATCAAAAAAACATTCTGCAGAGGCTGTAAAAAGCATGCCACTCTAATTAGACTGACTTGAACAGTATTGTCAAGTATCCAGGCTAGGCAGTAACTCAGGGCAGTTAAAGGCAGGTGAGAGGCAGCATCAAAGAGCTACAGCATGGCTTACATGCAAGCAGCAGGCTTAGATCTACTAACAGAATTGGATGATCAGGCTAGTTTGCTTTTCGCTTCCATCTCAATTCAAAGAGAAGGCACATGTGCTATACTGAAGGAACCTACTCATTCCTCAGGAGGCAGACTTTCCACATCAGCAATTCAATCACTGTAAGGCAGAACTAATGTATTTTCATTTCAGTCCAGGCAGAACCAGTAAATCTAACTTTGCCGGACTGGGGAGAATTTGGTGTCCGCAAGAGGTCTCTGTAAAACCAATGGTGATTCTATTCCAGAAATATGTCACTAAAGACAAAAAAACCCCAAGTTTTATTTGTATAAAGTTTTCTTTGACTTTGAAATGGCATGGAAGAAATGCCAGGGAAATGAACTCTCTCAGTAGAAAAAGAAGCTTGCACTTATCAACAGTTGATCACTCCATTATAGGAAAGGGAAATTATTTTACTCAAGAAAATAAAAAATTGTGTTTTCAATAACCATTTCACTTGTCTAAAAGGAGAGCACTAGACCGTGTACCCTGAGTCACTGTCCATTTTGTGAAGTAAATGCATCCTCACTGGATGTAATGCTGTAAATGTATGAAAGAACAGAAACAGAGGAAAATATATTCAACTTTATAAGCATGAAGGATCCCAATTTGGATGTTCAAGAGAAGGTTTATGAAACCTAAAAAGCTAAGTGAGTAAGGAAATAATGTGGCACAGCTGTATGAACACCTGAAATAATTTGTAGGAAATGTCCTTTATTACCAGTGCTGAAGAAAGAGAGTTATAACACAAACATTCTGGCATTCTTTCATTTTAATGCAGAAGAATTTTGACTGTTGGGATTTTTTTGCCATGATTTTAAGTGTATAATGGTTTTATAGTCACAGATTTTTTTTTCTTTATGTAGTAGTATTAAGACCTGTTTGAGCTGTCCAAAGTACTACCTAACAGTTCTGTTTACTTCACTCTATGAAGATATGGAACCATAGAATCGTAGAATGGCTTGTGTTGGAAGGGACCTTAAAGACCTTTTACTTCCTACCCCTCCTGCCATGGGCAGGGATACCTTCCACTACACCAGGTTGTTGAAAGTCCTATGCAACGTGGCCTTGAACACTTTCAGGGATGAGATCTCCACAGCTTCTCTGGGTAACTTGTTCCAGTGCCGCACCACCCTGGCAGTAAAGAATTTCTTCCTAATATCCAATCTAAACCTATCCACGTTCAGTTTAAAACAATTCTCCCTTTTCCTATCATTATGTGGCCTTGTAAAAAGTCCCTTTCCAGTTCTCTTGTAGGCCCCCCTTCAGATACTGGAAGGCTGCTATATGGCCTCCCAGAGCCTTCTATTTTCCAGGTTGAAAAATACCAAGTTCTCTCAACTTGTTTACATAGGAGAGGTGCTCTAGCCCTCAGATCATTGGCTTGTCCTTATGTGCATATGTGTATGGTTAGGGATACGTATGCCCAAATAAAAACGTATGTAGTTTTTTACTGGAACACAGATCATAGAAACATCATAGAATCATAGAATCAGCCAGGTTGGAAGGGACCTCTGAGATCATCAAGTACAACCCTTGATCCACTACCACCGTGGTTACTAGACCGTGGAACTAAGTGCCACATCCAGTCTCATCTTAAACACCTCCAGGTACAATAAATCCACCACTTCCCCAGGCAGCCCATTCCAATGCCTGATTACCCTCTCTGTAAAGAATTTATTCCTAATATCCAACCTAAACCTCCCCTGGCACAGTTTAAGACCATGCCCTCTTGTCTTACTGATAGTTGCCTGGGAGAAGAGACCAACCCCTACCTGGCTACAACCTCCTTTCAGGGAGTTGTAGAGAGTGATGAGGTCTCCCCTGAGCCTCCTCTTCTCCAGGCTGAACAACTCCAGCTCCCTCAACTTCTCCTCATAGGACTTGTGCTCGAATCCCTTCACCAGCCTTGTTGCTCTTCTCTGGACCTGCTCCAGCACCTCAATATCCTTCCTGAACTGAGTTGCCCAGAACTGGATACAGTACTCCAGGTGTAGCCTCACCAGTGCTGAGTACAGGGGAAGAACCACTTTCCTGGACCTGTTGGCCACACTGTTCCTGATCCAGACCAGGATGCCATTGGCCTTCTTGGCCACCTGGGCACGCTGCTGGCTCATGTTCAGCTTCTTGTCAGTCCAAACTCCCAGATCCCTTTCTGCCTGGCTGCTCTCCAGCCACTCTGCCTGGCCCAGCCTGTAGCGCTGCATGGGGTTGTTGTGGCCAAAGTGCAGGACTCGGCACTTGGCCTTGTTGAACCTCAACCCACTGGAATCAGCCCAACTCTCCAGTCTGTCCAGGTCCCTTTGCAGAGCCTTCCTGCCTTCCAGCAGATCAACACTCCCCCCTAACTTAGTGTCATCTGCAAATTTGCTGATGGTGGACTCAATCTCCTCATCTAAATCATCAATAAAGATATTAAATAGAACTGGGCCCAACACTGATCCCTGGGGAACACCACTAGTGACCGGCCACCAACTGGATGCAGCACCATCCACCACCACTCTCTGGGCCCGGCCCTCCAGCCAGTTCCTAACCCAGCACAGAGTGCCCCTGTCCAAGCTGTGGGCTGCCAGCTTTTCCAGGAGTATGCTGTGGGAGACGGTGTCAAAGGCTCTGTTGAAGTCCAGGTAGACCACATCCACAGCCTTCCCCTCATCCACCAGGTGGGTCACCTGATCATAAAAGGAGATCAGGTTGGTCAGGCAGGACCTGCCCTTCCTAAACTCATCCTGGCTGGTTCTGATCCCTTGTCGATCCTGTAGGTGCTGTGTGATTGCACTGAGGATGATCTGCTCCATAACCTTGCCAGGCACTGAGGTCAGGCTGACGGGTCTGTAGTTTCCTGGGTCCTCCTTCCGGCCCTTTTTGTGGATGGGTGTGAGATTCACCAACTTCTAATCATCTGGGACTTCCCCAGTGAGCCAGGACTGTTGGTAGATGATGGAGAGCAGCTTGGCAAGGTCTTCTGCCAGCTCCCTTGTCACCCTTGGGTGAATCCCATCTGGTCCCATAGACTTGTGGGGATCCAAGTGGCTCAGCAGGTTGCTAACTATTTCCTTCTGGATTACAGGAGGGTTATCTCTTTCTACAAGCCCCAGAAGCCAGCTGTCCTGAGGACAACCTGTCTTACTGTTGAAAACTGAGGTAAAGAAGGTGTTAAATACCTCAGCCTTTTCCTCATCTTTGATAACTCTATTCCCACCCATGTCCAAAAAAGAATGGAGATTTTCCTTGCCCCTCCTTTTGCTATTGATGTATCTGTAGAAGGACATTTTGTTACCCTTCACAGAGGTGGCAAGATTACATTCAAATCGTGCCTTTGTCTCTCTAATTTTCTTTCTACATGACCTAACTATATTCCTAAACTCTTCCTGAGTAGCCAGCCCTTTTTTCCATAATCTGTAGGCTCTCTTTTTTACCCTAATTTCCTTCAAAATCTCCCTGTTCAGCCAGACCAGCCATCTTCCCCAACGGCTTGCCTTTCGGCAGATTGAGACAGCCTGCTCCTCTGTTTTCAAGACTTCCTTCTTGAAGCAGGTCCATCCCTCCTAGACCCCTTTTTCAGCCTTCTGAATAGGCTGAAATCTGCCCTTCAGAAGTCCAGCGTAGAGGTTTTATCGATGGCCCTCCTTGTACCCCTGAATATTGAAAACTCTATTATTTCATGGTCATGCAATATAAGACTTAGAAAGAGTGTTTGTATTACGACAAAGGAAAAAGCTTCAAAATTGATTGATGCCCAAGATAAAGGGAAAATAGCAGAACATGTTGTGAGTAGGCACAATGTATCCTTATGCATATGTTTAGGCAAACAGTAAATACCAGAACAGCTTGCAATAACTAAGAAAACCTCAGTACTTCAACACTTAAAATTCCTTCACATGTAGCATTTATTGTGGTTTGTGCATGCTGTGTGGTAATTTTAACCTCCAATAATACTTTTTTCTACCTGTAACACGCGAAGGTTCCAATACCTCATAGAAAGCCTGCATTTTACCTGATTTCTGATTTTGCTGTGAGCCATAATGTATCTGATGCTTCTTCAGAGATGCCAGTTATGTAGTTATGCATATTACTTCTTTCAGTAAAAGCAACTTCTTCATCCCTCCACAAAAAGTAAAGTTTCAGGGTCTTCTGAATGCATTAACTAAATGTGTGACAGTGCCAATCAACAAAGAAACCCAAAGGAATGCATTCCCCTTTTCATAGATTTTCTTGCCAATAGTAGTGTGTGTGTGTCTGTGTGTGTGTGTGTGTGCGTGTATTTTCTGAACGTTGCAGATTTCAGAAGATTATCAATTACCATGCCCACAAGGATTTCCTTGTATGCTAGACAGCTTTAATTATACGATTTGTGGATCTCTAGTGCCTTCTCTGACATTCATTCAGTTCCTTATCAGAACCTCAAGAGTAAACTCTGCCTACTAGAATGAAAGTTATGTTGCTATGGATTATCTGCATTCATCTCAGTGCATGTGCCAGTATCTCAGTATGAGATCCATCTTGCCCATGTACCGCAGTGTATGTATCTTTCTTTGTTCTTCTGCAGGCATTATCTATTTAGAAAAAAAAATATTTAGAAAGTTTACGCTAAGGATCAAAAAAGTCAACAAGAGGCAACCCTTGATTTTAATGGTATACTTTCTGCATATTCATAGTTACTCTTTATTCAAGAATTAGAGGCCATTTTCAGTTGCTAAAGGATTCTACAGAACTGCAATACTGCTGATGATGGAGTTTGTTGATGCCTTGATCCTGATACTGACATTTAGTCAATGAACTCTTATAATCCTTTCATGCGCCAAATGCTGCTGTTCATACTTTTGAGGTTTCTTATGACATCTTACCATTTCACTGATTTACAGAAAATCAGTTCATTAATGCTTCCACTAATATGCAACTAAAATCCAATATTTCTTGAGATTTCTGGGTGAGAATATGCCTTTCTACACCCTTTTTGGGGAGGATCTGTATTGTGTATCATCATTATAAGTTGCTTACTTGGACTTGATATGTGATATAAAATTATATTTCATACTGGTCTGTCAGTAAGAAATACTGACATGTAGATATTATCTTTTTTTTTTCTGATGTGCATCATTCCATGAAAGATAAAAGAATGATGTCCTTATTTCCCTTTCTCTACATCCTTCTCCTCAGCATCAAAACACCAGTCCAAAGGAGCTGGAATAGAAAGAGTACTGAAAAGCTTTTAGTTCTTGACACCTTGAAGTGAGAGGATTACATGAGTTTTCCTTTGTCACCTCATTATCATCACAACCTCTTTTAGACTCTCTGTTAGCTACTTATGATGTGCATAGGTTGTCCTATACTGGATCCATTCCTTATCTTCTAACATAGCATTAGTTTTAATTTTATCAGATGTTTGGGATTTCAGATCTCTCTTTGATCTCTAAAACAACTTTTTTTGACAAGGTGATAAAATTAATGAATTGCAAATCGCTTTTGATAGTTCTGAGATTTTAGTACAAGTATTAGGAAGGGTAACACAATACTGCACAGGAGGTTGAAGCTTTTTGAAAAGCACTGTGAAGCTTGTTATTAAGAATAATGTTCCTAGAGAAGAACCTAATCGTCTGGGAAACTAGTGCTTACATGCAGATGGACATGAAATGATATGAAGTGAATTAATTCTAATGTTACAATGTCTCTGTCATGAACGTGTACTTATAGGCCCTGAGGGCACTGCAGGACCTACTGTCCCTGTCCTCCAGGGCTTCCCAAATCCTGTCCTGTCCGTGGCCCAGGACTCTATTTTATCCCTCTCAGAATGTGCCCCCTTGCCCCAGCGACACCACTGCAGGGCCAGTCTCCAGCTGCCCACAGCCCTGCCCTTCCCAGCTATGGGCCCCACTGACCCAGGTCCACTTGTGGGCCCATGTCCCAGCCCAGCCTTGGCTCATTCCCATCCCCAGTGCCTGGTGCTGGAACTTTCCTAGTGCTCCCTGACTGCCCTGCTCCTCTTTAGGATAGTGTGTGCTGAGAATGGCCCTTGTGGTACCCTGACCGTATATTTTCATTAGCTTTAAAATTTTTCAGTCAGTCAACTTTTTAGATGAATAGATGGAAAGGTTATGAGAGAAGGATGGAAAGGCAGATGTAACATGTACAAGGGGAGAGAAGAAGATGTTTTTAATTCTTGCGTTGTTGCCAGATCTACTAAATCATCTTGGAAAAATTAATATTAAAAGCTGAGTTTTCTGAATGGGGGGACAATGTGCAGCATGAATTGAGATCTCTGCAGGGATATTCTGGAAGGAAACAAGATGCTCTGTCATATGGCATGTATTTTAGACATGTTAACACATCACTTTACTGACCAACTATATACTGTCACCACAGACTGCTTTCTGAATTAGCTCTTCTTAAAATGTTTCTCCAGTTCATTTGTGCTTTTTCCTCAGTTACTTAAGCATCATCTGTAAAGCTTGGACAGATTGTAGTGACATTTGTCTTAATGAAGCTTAAGACAGTCCCAGAATATTTGTTTTTGTTTGGTGACATAGCAATGCTTTCATGCCTTCATCATTATCTTCAAATAAAATTTCGACCATCTAAGTACAACACAGAACAATACCATAAAAAATTTGGCTTTTCCTTGTTTTGGTGTTCAAGATTTCAATTTGATTTTTTGTATTCAGTTTGAATTTCATGCCACATTTTATATTAACCCAGTAATTCACTGTAGTGTATTTCTCTTTGCAATGTTTAGTTATGTATGTTCTAGATCAGTCTGAGCATTATTAAGATCACTTTTACAAAGAAATGCATATTTTCTTCTCACTTTTGGCTTCCAATTTTCATTATTTTTTCTTAGAATGAGAGAAGTACAGTTTGAGTACTTAAGCCTGTTATTAAATCAGTAGGAAAAAGATAAAATATTCTTAGAATCCATCAAAAGCAATAGAGACACATCTGTTTTGTTAGAGGCCCATGATTTTACTCCTATGTTCCTCTCCCCTTAAATGAATTTAGACTCACAGCCATAGGTACCCAAATAGCATTTTATTCCTGCAAATTAAATATTGTGATGTTCAGACCAAATAAACAAAAAGTGAATGTCTGATTAAGGTGAGACACATCTGACTGTACAGCCTCAGTCTGTTAATCTCTCTGCCATCTCTTTTGTCCCTAGGTAGAATTCAGAGGGAGCCTGTGCTGAACTTTTTACAGCCAACCTGGCTACTGTAATTTAATTTGCTTCTTCTGAGGTCTCCGTATTTCCCAGCAGTAGTTGGCATTGG